CTTTCTTTCTTTCTGTCTTTCTCTCTTCTTCCTAAAGTCAACCTCGAAAGGGTCCAACTACCGCGAGAAGACGTGTAGAATACGCACGCGCGACAATTTATTATGCTTTACTATTATGACCGAACGTTTCTTTCCCTTTTTCACCATCGGCTTCGCGGTATTCGTTCGTACGAAGTCTCGCCAGCTCGTCAATATCTTCAAGCAATTTTTCCTTACACCCTGTAGATACGTGAGAGAAAAAAGAAGAGAGAGAGAGAGAGAGAGAAAGAGAAAGAGCTCGATAGGGCTTTTAAAGAAGCATCAACCGCGCCGATTCCACAGCTTCCTCGTTAAAACTCTCAAGAGCGTAATCTGCTGCCGGTCGGCTTCGAGATCTTTGCCGATGACTCTTCGAACTTTCTTCTCTGTCTCTGTCTCTGTCTCACTCTCTCTCACTCTCTCTCTCTCTCTCTCTCTCTCTCTCTCTCTCTCTCTGAACCTGTCTCTTCTTTTTCCAGTCGAACCGGACACTTTGCGCCTTCCGCGATATCGACCTTCCTCCTTCTTCGATCTCTAAAGCAGTAACGCATAGCGCAATAACGATTCGTTTTCCAAGAAAAGATCGCGTCATCGCTAAACGGTACGCGTCGCTCGTCGATGGGCCCATCGACGATCGAGATACTCATTCGATACGTCACCACGACTAATAATTATTTTTTATTTCGTCGAACAATGTAGTGAGATTTTGTCGAAACTTTTTTCTTTTTATAAAATCTTTGAACATTGCAAACATTAGATTATTTAGGGAATAAATGTATCGTGTCTCGATTGTTTAATCTTTAAAATTTATCTTCGATACTACATATGTATCTCGATTCAGAATAAACTTTATTATTAGAAACCATCGGAATATAAACATCTTTTTGCCACGAAGAAATGTATTTTTTAATGACGTAAAATTCCAAGGATATAGAATCGATTAAATCTTTGATAAGATTTTCGATAGAAATTTGATTATCGAAGATCTTTCCTTAGAAGAAGTGATCAAGATATTTGAGAAAAATGATATCTCATTGACGATAAATCCGAAGAATAGGCTGACCAATGTCGTACTTGATCATTACAATTAATCGTTACTATTGTCTATGAATTTTCTGAATTGACGTACGTTCATTCGCGGTTTCATATTCATTTACGCAAATTTACGATCCGTCTTAAACTCATACGAAAGAGATCATGCAAATTTTTTAAGTCCTCTAAACTCAATAATACGTAGTAATTAAAATAGATAAAAAAGCATAAGTGATATATCTAACAATCTGGAGAACAAAATTTGCATTTTTTTTAAATATAGATTTTTAATATAAAAATTGTGATCATTTGTAAGAAATCTATAGAATGAAATGAATTTTGTTATTAGAAAATAAACGATCGAAGTTTGTAAACTCGAAAACCTTTACATCGACCTTTTTAATAAAATTTCTTATAAAAACGATAAAGATCGTTCTATTGTCTAAGCGAACGATGATAAATCTATTAAAAAAGCCCTTTATTTTTTTTAAATCTGTCTGCAAAGAGAAGAGAGAGAAAGAGAAGGTGGGAGGGAAGGAGAACGAGGAGAGATAGAGATAGAGAGGAATAAGGTATGGTAAAAGTGTACAGGCGCGTATCGCCGCGTTTCTCCGACGATTGTTATCTCAAGGCGATATATTAAGCGCCATTACCAGTATTTAGAAGGCGGCGGAGGCCTTCGTACGTGGCAGAGTTTGCGTCTTATCGAGATCGCAGGGCGCGAAACGTGGCTCGACTCGAAAGCACGCAGCAGCCGATAAACGAAGATTAGCGCCCGAGTTCCCTTCGGGAATCGAACGTAATTACTCGTGAGAACGAAACAATGCTCGATTAAGGCACGATCGAGTGAGTTAGGAGTACGAGAAAGACAGAAATACAAAGAGAGAAAGAGAGAAAGAAAGAAAGAAAGAAAGAGACAGAGAGAGAGAGAGAGAGAGAGAGAGAGGGAAAGAAAGAAATAGAACAATTTCTCATTTATATTTCACGAAATAATTATCTTATAACAAAATAAACACTATTTTACTATCATAGTATGGATGTATATATAAGTATATACACTTATATTCTTGGATAAATAAGTTATGATAATCGAGTGAAAGCTAACAGTCGACGGGAGATCGAGGAGGAACTACCGCGTCTCTAATTACGATAGAACGATAAAGATCGTAAAACATTCTCGCGATATCTTAATGCGAGAATACGCCTATTAATATGCATATATACGTATATCTATATACCTACATATACATATATATATATATATATGTTTATACATATACACGTCGACGATAATTAACCAGATCGATTCTCATTTTCTTCTCATATTTCTCAAAATTTCTATCGCTTTTAACGCATGTCATTTAACGAAAATATCGTTGTTATTATAACTAAACGACGAGTAATTAGTCAAATCGTAAATTCTTCACGATCATCAAAGATTCTAGAGAATAATATTATAAATTAGGTCTTGACCGTATTCGAATTATCTCGAAAAACGCAAGGAGTAGAAAGATTTAGCGATTCTGACGTTAGGCATAGAGAGACGCGAAATGGATGATATCGGATCGGACACGCACACACAGGTACAGGTAAGCTCACCGGTCCCCGGAGTAAATACACGATGGGAGCGGTGTTCGATATATATTTGATAAGGTGGTACACGGCCGGCCAAGCGCTGACAAATCGCCCTGAGATCGGCTAACCGATATCTCGGGACCCGACGACGCGCTGATACAACGATGTATCATGGAGGCCACCGAATAAAACGCATTCGAGAAACTGCCTTGATCTCGAACGTGGAAAACTATCCCAAGCAACTCTAACCATTTCGATAGATCGATCGATCTTCTTCCAAACTCCCTTCCACAAGAGCGTTCTTGCACTTTGTAGAATTTCTTTATGCAGCAGTATCAGTAACAATACGATAAAGTAATAAATATTCTCTGTCGTTAGTTATTCCTATTCATCATTTTGTATATCAAAAATGAATATAAATATATTATTACTTTTGAAAATGATGACATTATTAATTTATGTTTTAATTATCATAAGAAAAAAGGAAACAAAGACGAAAGATCTTATTTTAAACGTTGACGAGAGTTTAGATCAGGTACTGTCAAAATAACTGGACAAGTGGAAAGAAAGAAAGATAAAAAGTAAGAAAGAAGAAAGAAAGAAGGGAAAAAAAAGAAAGAAAAGAGAGATAAGGGATTGAGTATAAGAGGCTGATCTCTCTGGGCACACGAGAGAGATCATAATGGAGCGATGGATCTTGGCGTTTCTCCAACGGTTGAGATCAACTTGATTCTTCGCGCGCTAACGTATCTCGAGACGAGATCTCGAGGATCGTGAGCGCGATACGGCAAAATAATGCGAGATAATCTTCGGCATGGCCGAAGCTCCTTCGAAATATCCTTTACACCCACTCGCATTGGACGAAGAAGATCGATAATCGCACGGGTCCTATTCTACCCCGTGAAAAATCTCAACGCGGTAGTCCGTGCTGAGAGTTTCGAATCGTCGAACGGATCAAAGTAATCACCGCCAAAGACAAAGATAAAGACATTCGTGATACCTAACGATTATTATAACAGTACATCTTTTTACTATAGTTGTGCTATTGCGATTAATTACTTTTTTTTTATAGAAATATATACTTTCTATTAACGATACAATAATCTTGTCATAGTGAAATTAAAAGTAGAATTATTTATAAAATAATTACGGTCCTGCGATTGAAACGATTTGGCCTGATATTTCGTAGATGTAATCCGACTTTCAAATATTTTTAATATTAGGACTGACATTTATTTAAAAAGTTCATAAACAATACACTTTGTTTGTTTTCTAATTAAGAAATTATATAAAAAATTAAGTTCTCTCCAAATTGTCTTGCTTATTCTTAAAATTACAATTTACTAAAGATTTATCAAAAAATATAATATTTAAAGATATTTATATTCGTGCGATAAAATATCGTTGAAACATTATTGATAAAATAAGTGATACATTACTTCCAGAATTCTCGTGATGAATGGTTCGATTTTTTTTGAAATTAATTAATCGATCATAAAATTATAAATTGTTATGTTATTAAGATGTAATGTCTCCGGCTGCTTACAGAGATGAAGGATTTTTTTTTTTTTTTATGTTAATTAGTTTTAATGACAAAAATCTATTATGTACTTTTATAAATATAAAAAGAGAAACAAAAAGAACAACGTGTTCCTCGTGTAACTAAAGATAAACGAAAAAATAAAAATAAATAATCAGAACCTGTCTTACTTGGTTGCTTGGAAGCAATTAATAAAATAACTCCTACTAACTGTCAAATGACAGACACGTCAGATACGATGCTAAATAAAATGAATCCAATATCTGTTACGTCATCGGATATAGTTCAACGAATTAAAAAAACGTAGGATGTTACAAGCGGCAAATGTACAAGTAACAAAATGTATTAAAAATTCATATAAATCCAAACGTCTCCCTCGTGAGACTCTCTCGTTCATCTTCGAATGAAAATTTTTCAGATTTTGTAGTTCGAAAGTTTAAAGAAATTTTTGAGGAAGAAGATAATACTGAATGTGACAGCTATTGGTCGAAAAAAGACGACTGGATTCGATGCGAGAGATGTGATAAATGATTTCCCGAAAGGTGTTCAACAGTTTTGAATTTATACGATTGCCGCAGATAAGTTTTATACGAAAGAAAGAAATAATTTTTCTTCTTTTTATATTAAAAATTTTTATATTTTTATTTGGCACATGACACTATGAATCATGGGTGAACAATTTTTGTTTTTTCTTCAAATAAAAATTTTAAATTATCTTTTAGTTTTATCTCGATATTATAATTTCTCATGTATCTACTTTTAAAAATACATTTATTCTCTTTTTTTTTTTTTAACATCTGCATGTAATCGAAATTAATAATTTTTCTTGTTTCTTATGTTGAAAACTGTTTTTTTTTTTTCTACTTGGGACATGACACTATGAAACATGAGGATCAACAATTTCTTTCTTTTAGTTTTATCTCGTTACTGTAATATCTTATGTCTGAATTTTGACAAATACATTTCCCTTTTTTTTCCTTTTTCTTTGGACATCTATTAAATTTATAATGTACTGATGCTGCAAAAAATAAGGATCACTCCTTGAATTACTCAATAATAAAAATGAATAAATTTGTTTTTTAAATAATCGTACAATAAGTTAGATCGGTAAACGATCTCATGGCGGAGGTCAATCCTCTCATGAACTTTTTCCATTATTAATAACCAGTACTTACCTAACTCCTACGTGTGCCATGTTGTAAGCGTTGCATCTCTCTTACACAAATGCAATTCTTAATAAACAATAACAGATTTCACGACTTCGAAACAGTTATATCTCATTATGAGTTCTTGCTTCTGTTGAACAGTACTTTAGTACTAGTCGCTTTAGGAACTGGATTTCTTGACTCTCTCAACTTTTTTTCCTTTTTTCTCATCTTCCTCATTTATTCGCTACTCCTTCCGGTTATGTCTTCTTCTCTCTCGGTAAAGATCACCAATTGATCGTCTATTAGAAGTTTAAACACCTGTTGATGAAATGGGTCGTGACGCAATTAAAATAGAGATCCACACCTCCGTAATTGTATATGTGTGTCTATGTTTATGCGCGCCCGTGCACCCGTCTGTGCATATGTGCATGTGCATATGTGTATGTATACGAGAGAGAGAGAGAGAGAGAGAGAGAGAGAGAGAAGACAACTCGACGATAATTAACGACGCCTGGCGTTACCCGATAATCGCTACCTGCGAATCACGAATCACATTGTAACTTCTTCCCTCTGGTCTTTCTCTTCATTTTCTTTTTCATTTTTATTTCTGTTTGTTTGTATTTTTTTGTTTATTTTCCCTTTTCCCATTTTAAATCATTACGAATCAATAATTATCATTCTTCTACGTAGGTAAAAGATATCCATACCTACAAATACGAACGAATTAATTGCCATAATTTTAACTCAATTAAATTCCACGTAAGTATACCTTTTCAAAATGTATCCATCTGTTAATAGTTCCAAAGGTATGTAAGTCTTTGATTACAAGATTCGAATTAGTTTACTTTGTTAGACGTTTAGTATATAAGTTAGGTAGATATAATAGCAAGAGAAAAAAAAAAGAAAAAGAGAGACAGAGAGAGAGAGAGAGAGAGAGTTAGGAACAGTATCCTCGATCTATCTACCATCAGTGTGGTCGACATAAGAAAGCATAAAAATCGCTGAGATACGATCGAGTTGCATTCCGTCTTATAGTTTATTGTCCTGTCGCCTATGAATCCGACCAGAGAAAAGAGAAAAGAAAAGATTAGGTAGGTAGATGGTTATAATATCACATCTCGCTCTTTTCCTTAACTAATCCTTGTCGGTTTAAGTATTTTAATTATGTCGATGTCGTACGGCGCCACTGCAGACCAAAATTACGCGGCTCGCTCGCTAACATCGTCGTAACAACGATCGAATGACCTATCGGACGAGACATCGGAATTTCTCATCTACAAAATTCTCTCTCTTCGTCTCTCACTCACTCTCTCTCTCTCTCTCTCTCTCTCTCCCCCTCTTTCTCTTTTTACTTCTCTATCTTCTAATAAAAATATAGATAGCGTATTTTATAAATTTAAATTAACTTTTATCGCATAAATAAAATTCCGTGTTTAATATATAATTTTATATCGCGTAAATCGTAACAACATAATTTTTTCCAATTGTTTTGCGGCTTAAACGTACTAAAGTATGACTTTTGCATTTACCAAATGTAATGAATGAACTTGTACAAACGAAAACATATCGTAATATATTTCTATTTTCGATTATTTGATTTCAGATGAGCTGATAAATAACAAGACGTTTATAGTAATTAAAAAGTCTTCATTAACGTGAATCCATCGGTATGCGGTAATTAAAGATATAGTAATCAATGTATGTGGATCGTCTGATAAACTCGTTCCTTCTACGATTTTATCAAAAGTTTCAAATTTCTACGTAGTAGTACATACCTACGAGATAATAATGAGATGTTCCTGTCAAAATATATCTCTTTTTTAACGAATAATCGGAGCTGAGATAAATCGTTGATTATAATACGAATGGTTTCCCTTCTCGAAAAAAAGAGGAAAAAGAAAAGTAGAAGAAGAAAAAAAAACTAAAATTAAAAATATCTACTTGGTAAGGAACGCATATTAAATAGACGCTCTGACGTCTGATCTTTGAACCTATAATATAAAAGATACCAGATGAACTCGTTGTTGAAATACATAAGATCCGCGAAACTTTCAACGTGTCATCGACTCCGTAGGAACGTGTAAAACGAACTAGAAAGGTTGCGGCTAAGCTAAAAGATAGAAATAGAAAGAAAGAGAAAGAGAAAGAGAGAGAGAGAGAGAGAAAGAGAGAGAAGGTTAGAAAGAGCGCGTATGCCGGTGCCTCGAGTGAATACCTAATTAAGATCTTAATTACTCCTACCTGGTATAGAAGCGTTTCACCTTCGACCGACTCCCACGATGCGGTTTATAAGATTGTTAATATCATCATTTATATCTCGGTAATGCGAGATCGTTAGTGTCCCGAGGCACCGTTTATTATCAGCTCGCCACTGCCCTACGATATATGAAGCGATCAACCCCCGTTTGCTCGTGCAATTCATTTCAACCCTTTGTCACGAGTGCAACCATCGTAATACGCGGATATGTCGAATATATATCGAGTCGATATATTACGATGTAACGAAATTAATAATATGAGATAAAAATTTCTTTGAAAGACCTGTGGTATTCTTCTTTTTTTCTTTTTTTTTAATCAATGAAAAGTAACACAAAAAGAAGATAAGATATAATCCGTATTTATAATTGTATTATATACTTGTAATACATAATTGTATTTCAGATTATTTTCTGTAAGTTAATAATAAAACGCGCTGAGTATCATCCTCTCTAAGCGAGTTAGATACTTACATTACAAATACAATAAGTGATAAATATAAAGGAGACGCGGACGAGAAAATTATCGCAGTTTTTTAGCACGTAGAGTGTAAATCATAAAAGAGCTTCCATTTCTCATATGTCCAGTCCCATTACCGATTTCCCGGTGTTTAAACATGCAAACGATATCGTCGAACAATCTTAGAGCTAGATACGTTGCGTAAAATACTCGTGCGACATTCCAAGCGAAAAGCAATTTTCCTATTCTCCTCGAAAGGGCACACGTATCGAGAAACTAACACACCCTTTTTTAAAAACAAAAAAAGAAAAAAGATAGGAAAAAATATTAAAAGAAAAATAATAGAAAAAGAGAAGAAAAAACAAAGAAAGAAAAAAAGAGGAAGATACGGCTAGGCAAACGGACCAGCTATGACCCCGGACTCGTCCTCTCCGTGATTAATAAGTCATTCATTAATATAAATGAATCCTCTTGGCGCGAATGATTTCATGATGAATCGGTTGCATTTACCGGTACGCGAACGCCTGCCGGGTGTGAACATAGCCTCATATACGGAAAATACGAAGCTTGGGAAGAAGAGAGAGAGAGAGAGAGAGAAAGAGAAAGAGACACAAATTTATATTCGAATTCTCTCATAGAGAGACGCCTTGAGAGAAAGGAAGAGATAAATAGAGAAAGAGAAAATGATTTATTAATTACCGCGAACGATAACTAGTCTCTTAAATTTTTTTTACAAATCCTCAGTGGAACGGAATACGAATTTCTACGTTTATCATTTACGTTCTTCGTAGGATTGTAAATATAATTAGATAAGTGGTAAACGTAATTCTATATATAAAATGGTCTATTAAAAAATCAAATTCCTCGTTTACTCGTCCATCGAAACGAAACGTATTGTTCGTATTTTCTTGACCTCGCTCTTCTCGACGCTTATTTGCCTCTACGAAAAAAAAAGGAAGAAAAAAAAGAAAAAAAAAGCCGTCCACCCGATGACTCGTTAAACCTCCATCCATCTTATTATATTCGCGGAGTGGTATTTAATACGGAGGGAAGAAGAATCTGACGTATAACGTGAGAGAGAGAGAAAGCTATATATATATATATATATATATATAAATATATATAAATATAAATAGAGAGAAAGATAGAAAGAGAAGATGATAAGAGAAGAGATTCAGAAGGAAGAAAAGGGAAGAAAGGAACAAACATCAGCTTCGCTTATGTAATTACGCGGACTCTTTTACGTCCTTTGAAAAGATCCTTCAGACGCGAAAAGGGCGCTAGTAAGTACTTACAAAGAAAGCAGGTGTCGAGTTTCGATTTCTATGGACAATTAGCGTGAGCGCCCGGTTCATTCGTTTTCTCCTTTTTCTTTAACGAATAAATAGAAAAAGAAAGAAAGAAAGAAAGAAAGAAAGAAAGAAAGAAAGAAAGAAAGAGAGGGAGAGAAAGAGGGAGAGAGAGAGAGAGAGAGAGAGAGAGAGAAAGAGAAAGAGTAGAAGGTAAGATGGTAGGAGAAGGAAGAGGAATCCAAGTTTTCACTGGTAAGAAGATAGAATGTGTGTGCGCGCCATGCGCCTCCGCCAGCGCATTATGCACAACCCCGTGAATGCACCTGTCAGTGGTCATCATTCAACAGCTTCATTGACCTTAGGATCAATTGGGATGCAGTGATTCTCACGCTCGCGACAGGGACCAAGAAACGATCGTGAAGAAAGAGCTTGGATGCCGAGTTTAACGACTGACAGGCACTGTTCGACGGGGGCGGGGGTTAATGAGACACGCTGATTGGCTCCGAGAGATTCATCGGGTGATTGACATTGATCAATTTTTATCCCATCTTATTTGCATACAACTAGCGCGCACGGCCACTGGCGTAAACTTCGTGGACTCTTCTCTTTCTATCTATCTCTATTTCTCTTTCTCTCTCTTTCTCTCTCTCTTTCTCTTTGCTTTGGGCTGACCGTACAGGAAAGTTACTACTGGCTCCCCGATGTCTCTTCAAATAATTTTTCAACGATCCACGAGTTGTCCCTTACTACATTTAATCCTTACGTTATATACCGTTAGAAATATATTCACAATCGTGTAATCGTTAAGAAATCATCTTTAGCAAAAATATAAGCGAAGGATTAATAAATTTTATACGTCGAAACAACGAATCGTGGAAGTCTTCAAATGATGAGGTATAATTCATGAAAAAAAAAAAGAGAAAAAAAAGAAAAAAGAAAGAAAGAAATGAAGAAGTAAAGAAAGAAGAATAATAAGAGGGATTCAGGTTCGATAGGAAAAACTATTCTTGGCTGTCTACGCCAATGAGTCACGAATACTCGCCAGTTTTCAGGACAAGTATCCACCAAGAAGAGCCATGCTTCATACGCGTTTGCCATCCGCGTATAATCCCGACGGCTAGATATGTACGAGGTGACTCGTGGCATTCCAATGAAAAATTTCGCGGGAACGTTCGATAGATAGTCGTTGGTTGGTTGGTTGGTTGGTTGGTTCGTTTGGTAGGTAGGTAGATAGGTAGGTATACGATACGCGGTGATCGATCGTTTCTCCGTCGGAGTTGTTATTACATTAATCTCTACCGAAGTCAATCGGCCCCGGTACGATCGCCGATAATTAAATTAGACTCCATTGATTCCGTGGCAATTAAAGCATGTGCTTTCACGCAACAACACTACTCTCTCTCTCTCTCTCTCTCTCTCTCTCTCTCTCTCTCTCTCTTTCGCTCGCTCGCTCTCACTAAAAATCGATTATTAAAAAATAAAATCGAAGCTTAATTAATCTATAATGAATAATATAAAAATACGTGTATCTAACATTTCCTGAATAAAGCGTCGATCTCTAAGTTAATATACGTTAAACCCATTTTGGGAGTTGAAATCTGAAAGGTTAGTTTAAAATAAAATAAAATGGGAAAGGAAAAGAAAGAAAGAAAAACGATGGCTGAGAGCAGCAAGTGGTAATAAAGTTTGAAGAGGAAGAAGAAGAAGAAGCGTATACTACTAAAAGCAAGTAACTATAAACCTGTAGCACACTCCCGCGCCCTCACGTTGAGCAGAATTGTAAAATTGTCGGTCGAGGCGAACACGAATGGCGGAGGCTAGAAAACTCGCCGATGCCTGGCCGGTGACGCCGTAAAGATAAGCGACCGACTCGACGACCACGAGCATTATTATCGATGGCTTCTTTCTCTTGCTTTACGCTCGATTAAGTAAACACCAGCCATTGCGAACGTCCCAGGCACATGCTATACCGGATCGTCATTCGTCCTTTAACTAATTGTAAGCTGTAACAGAAACACATATATATATGTATATATATACTAGATACAATCTTCTTTTTCTAGATCTTTTTCCTCTCACGAGTAAATAAATATTAAAGAAAGAAGAAAAAGACGAGCGTACTAATACATTAAAAGAATAAATTATTGTCATCCCGGTATAAGACTAAATTATTATTATCCATTCGTATCTATATAACTATTATTATTTATCAACAAGATATTATTTCTATATAATATAATATATAATTCTTTAATTACAATGTATATTATTTATCTCTATTTGGAAATAGTTTATTAAGTGAAACGATGAAATAATCTATCTATTTATTTATCTATATTTTCATTTTCCTTATTCCTTTCTTTCTTTCTTATCTTTTTTTCTCTTTAAAAGCATTTCAAAGAAATTAATGTCTCCCTCATTCAGTTCGGCCCACGCGAGAGATCTCGTTAGACTAACAATTCTTAACTCTTCCTCCGCTCCCGTAGAAGAGATTTCCCGTAATCCGAGCGGGAAGCCCCCGTAGATCCTAAGATTTCGAGGTATCAAGGTAGAAGAAACGCGATACGCCGATAAAACGAGACGCGCCGGCTCACCGCCGTGAGAAAGCAAAGTGGAAAAGGAAGAAATAAAGGTGGGAGAAGATAGAAGAACGCAACGAGGAAGAAGAAATAGAAAGAAAGAGAGACAGAGAGAGAGAGAGAGAGAGAGAGGGATAGAAAGAAAGAGAAAGAACGAACATATGCGGGAGAAAGAAGGACGAGGGAGTTGAAAATAAAGTAAAATAAAATAATCGATCAGACCGCTCGTAAAGTTCCGCCACGACGCAAATGAGTCGTTAAAAGGCCGGAATACACTCCTGCTGCGACACGGATACCTTCTTCTTCTTCTTCTTCTTCTTCTTCTTCTTCGTCTTCTTCTCATTCTTATTTTTCTTCTTTCTTCTTTCATCTTCCACTTTCTTTCGCTCTCTCTCTCTCTCTCTCTCATTATTCAATTTAGAATCACTAAGATTTGGACAAATTAAAAAATCCTCTTACATTTACGTTCGAACCTTTGTTAATTTTCAACAATTCCCAAACGCAGAACTTTATTAAATCCTTTTTGGTAAAACGAACCGACAGAATCGATTTCTTTTTTCCTCGCGAGTGATCGTAAAACGTCCTATACACGACCGTTATCCTAATCCGTTACGCGACGTCGTCCGATGGAATAAAAATACGAGCGTCGTCGAAGGAAGAAAGAAAGAAAAGGTACATGTACGACCGAAGAGAGAGAGAGAGAGAGAGAGAGAGAGAGAGAAAATCAATCCGACTGAGGAGAGCGAAGGACCGAATGGTTCGATGCGAATCGTGACCTTTGACCTAGCACCGGCTCAACTCGGGGTGTCACGCGGAGTCACGTGGCCGGCATAAAACGTGACGCGCCGTGAAATACCCTCCTAATGGGCAAGCAGGATGCGTTCACGCACGCGGCCACCGTCATCGTCATCGTCGTCGTCATCGTCGTCGTCGTCGTCGTCGTCGTCGTCGTCGTCTTCTTCATCGTCGTCGTCGTCCTTAACACAGCCAGGTGCAACGATCTTCGACCTGTTACCTATAAGGATATGAGCCTGCAAGAAAAAAAACCAAGAAAAATTGATCGTTCGATCAATCACTTTCTTTTTATTTATTTTTTTTTTTATTTATTATATATATTTATATATATAAAAATTAAACAAAATAGCTGGTAATATTTGCATATTAAAAACGAAAGAACGAAGATATTTTATCGTTTTTGTTAGTCACTTTTATAAAGACCACTCATATAACTTTTTCGTTAATATACGAAATAAATGGGATATATTAATATTTGTAAATCTTCGAGGGCTGTTCGAAAGGGACAATTTTCTAAAAGAAAAACATCATTTTATCCTCATCGTGTAAGTAAGTACGTTCTCCTTCTAACTGACAAAAAAGACAAACGGACGTAGTGGACACGTAAAGCTCGTCCATTACCGTGCAAATGTAATTATTATCAGGCCGGTTGCTCGCTCGCTCGCTCGCTTTGTGGTCGGGCCGCAAGAAAAGGGAAGCTTTTATATACCGCAGCGCTAAAAACGTCCTTTCAATTAGCAGAGAACGAAAAGTACAACGTACCGAAAACGCAAAGAACTAACTCTCTATGAATTGGAACGTACGCGTACTATCGCATCGCGTTGCAGAGTCATACTTGAAGAAAGTAACTATATCCTCAGTAAAAAAAACTTTAAAGATTAGTAGATATCTATTTATATTTAAATAGAATTTGTTCTTTTTCAGGATGTCTAATGAATTTCTAAAGAAAAAAATCTACTCTAAACTTGAACTTATATAAATTATCATAAGTATTATAGATTCGGTGTTTACCAAAACGTGTGTGTATACATAATTAAAATTTGAGAATATATATATTCGTTTTGTTCTCTTAACTCTTATATAATTTCACTTGTATAATTTATTTATTTGTTTATTTATGATTATTATTATTATTATTATTATTATTATTAATATTTACCCATCATAGAAAATAATCAAAGTGTTCCGTAAAAATTTCAAGATTTCCAAAGTGTTTCCATCGTAAGAAAGATTTGAAAAATAGATAACGTTTGATTCATAGACATATAATTCATGATTAAATATTTCGTATATATCATTCTTGAATAAATTTCTCATTTCTTTTTCTTTCGACGTTTCACGTCGTAGAAAAAAAAAAAAAAGGATCTATCAGATTCGTACGAAGAAAGAATGTCGTTTCGGAGTGTCGATCTTCAATTTTCCTTCTATTTCTCAAAACTCGGAAGCGTACGCACGCTTCTGAATAGTGAAAATGTTCGTTCGCATCCTTGGAAGCGTCTTGCTCGAACGAGAGACGCTAATGGTCGTAGGTACGAGCATTCACGATCCTGCGGGCGCCCGGCAATTACATTATTAATAGAGATATTACTCCCTACACACGGGTATTACGACATCGTAACGTCGTAGGAGAAAACGTGCGTAGTTTTCTCTCTCTCTCTCTCTCTCTCTCTCTCTCTTTTTCTCTCTCTCTCTCTATCTATCTATCTATCTATCTATCTATCTATCTATGTATCCATCTTTCTTTCTCTCATACACTCGAACTCGAGACTCGATCGAGTCGATGGATGGTCTCGATGGATAAGACTCGATGGATCGGCGAAGGGTTAAAAGAGAAGACATTAGAGTAGAGAAGGTGGAGGATGCCATGACGCTATTCAAGCTAGAAGAGGGGTGAGAAGAAGGGAGGAGCGCGAAGGAGGTCGGATCGACGGCGCAGATTGATCGTGCTAATCTGTTTCTGCCTGGACCACACATGACGCTAACTTGAAATTTTCTACGCGCCGCTAATCCCATCGAGCATCGGATAATGCGCTAATATCGGGGTACCGAATATCGCTGATCGCCAATGCGCCAGATGGACGTAGATATGTATGTACCTACGTAAGTACGTACTACATTGGTACGTACGTATACACGTAAGTATATATATAAGTAGATACGTAAGTATATATATATATATATATATATATATATATATATATATATATACGCTCTCAGAGTCATCAGCAAATTCCTGCCCATCCATTTGAGAGATACGTATGTTCTCTCCTCTTCGCTTCGCTAAAGCTAATCCCTCCTGTCGTTATTATCCATTCTCGGTCTCGAGTTCCGATCGGGGGACACAAAAGCATGCGTACAAGACGTCGAATAACACCTGGCGAATATTTTTCAGAGCGACTTCGAAAGAAGGAGAAAGAGATGGAAGTGGAGGTGGAACGAAAAGGGAGAAAGGGTTGCTAGGAAGAGCGGAAGGAAGAATGTGCATTGGAAGGTCCGAATAATGTGGATAGGATACCAATGGGGAAAGGACAAGAGAGGATAGAATAAGGTAGGATAGGGTAGGATAGGAAAGGTAAGGTAAGAATAAAACTAGGCGCGGTGGGAGTAAGTCCGGATGGCCTCCATTCTCGTCACTGGCTAAGAAGAGGACGGCGCCGACCAATCGGCAAACGTTGCCTCTGGCCTCACCTCCCCTTGTCCTCCAGCCTGTCGTGGATATCTCGGCGCGTGTGTGTACATCAAGGGGGAAAAGATCGTTTTAAAAATTGTGCCTCACCTGCCTCGAAGGGGGTCGAAGGTCACACTCGAGCTGCCGCTGCCGTCGCCGCCGCCGTCGTCGTCGCCGTCGCCGTCGCCGTCGCCGTTGTCCTCGTCTCAGTCCACGTCTTCGTAGTAGAACTCGACAAATGTTTCGAACGACGACGCCCCTGAAAAAAACCTATATATCTATCTTTAAACACTTATAAATCGATAAATTTCTTTAAAACTTTTTGTCAAAACAACATTAAAACCTTCGATAGGTAGGTAGGTAGGTAGGTAGGTAGATAGGTAGGTAAATAGATAAGTATATGTTTATGTTGTAATCAAAGAAACTTCAATTATTTACGATGTAAAAAATCCTTCCTTCATCGTGCAGTGACCGTTTATGCGATCCTGGAAATATAATCTGCAATTTCATAAAGGATCAGAATACCGAGGTCGTCTGTTGGTTCGTTCGCCACTATTTCGCAAACCGAGATCGTATTATTTTCTTGCGACACGCGCCTAACGGACGTATGCAAAGTAGCGTATGAATAGGCATTGCTCCTCGTAATAACGAGGAATGAAAGATACTTTTCTAACTTGGCTCACATTGTTTTTTTCATCCTCGATACTGACTCGCGACTCGGACGACCTTTACGAAAAGTTCATGGTAGTAGCGATTTAATCCCGTTACTATTATTCCAAGATCGAATCTGCCTTTCATAAGATTCGAACGCGTAAAACAAAACGATTTCTGCGTGAAAGCACGATCTTCGTCTCTCTTTCTCTCTGTGTCTCATAATCGAGACATCGAGGTCAACTCGGTGCTATCCACGATCGTGGATTAAGGACGTAAGGTAGGATTATTTTTGCAATCGCAATCCGAATAACTCTTGCGAGCGTGTAAAACAAAAAGCTGAGACATTAATGAGACACGTTCGATCTCTCTCTCTCTCTCTCTCTCCCTATTTCTTACTATCTCCCACTCTCCCTCTCTCTTCCTCCCTCCCTTTCTCACTCTCTCTCTTTCTCTCTCTCTCTCTCTCTCTCTCTCTCTTTTTCTTCTCATCTTAGTGCGAAATAAGCGTGAAGATCGACTGATCCAACGAGACTTTGAACAAGCGCGGTGTATCGAAGTATTACAACAGTGCAGCGTTAGCGTTTGTCCTGACTTTAAATGTCAGCTGCACGTAACGTCTATTACCCCATCCACAATGCGAGCAACGCTAATTCGTTTGTCGCTTGCCGTTCAACGCGCGTCGAACGGTAAACGATAGATAGGCAGGTATATGTATTTTCTGTCAGCTGGGAATTACGTTCGCGTCTAATACGATATAATCGACGAGAAATACATACATACATGCATACGTATGTACATACGTATCTATGTGAAATTTCGACGAGGATGTAACAAAATATAATCAAATCGTGAACTAAGGGTGCCTATCTTTGGATCCACCCATTCCTCGCGCATCGTTATCTTCGAAAATAGAAACAAAATTACATAATTGATTCGTCAGCGAAAAGAATGACTCTTTAGTTTCATTACTCGATGACTACCCAATTATTGGAGACGTGTACTCACACAGAGATAAACATTATTATAGATACATACGAATACAGCGCTCGTTCCCATTTTATAAAAGGACAAAAGAATGTTCTAAAGAGATGAGAATACAATGGTACTTTACAGAATACAGCGTTATATTATATCCACTATCGATGAAAGAATTCAATCGATTCTCGATTAGAAGATGCCGACTTTCTTTTTTATTCATCGTCTATATCGAATTAGCGATGCCCGTCGGTCGGTTGTCACTAAGAAAGGCGAGCGTGAAATCAAAGTTCGCGCGCTCGTCAAATCGATCCTTTTCGATCTTTCAGATCGTCGATGATCGAGAATATACGATGCGAGATCGCGTATAAACGTTCATAATAATAATGGTAATGATGATGATGATGATGATGATGATGATGATGAAAATAATAATAATAATAATAATAATAATAATAATAATAATAATAATAATAACAACAAAAATAATAATAATAATAATAATAGTAATAATAACAATAATAATAATAATAATAATACAGGTGCGCGTGCGTACACATACATGCATCCATACAATATATTTATATACGTACATACGTACATATGCGTATACGCTCGAGAAAACGTCTCTTGGAGATGTGAGAAACGTGAAAGCATCGCGTCTCGTCGTTTTCGTGTCGGAGAGGTCGATTAACGTCGATACATCGTACGTTCAATGTGTCGACGCGCGATAACGCTCTTACGAAATTCCTAGCGCATCGACCGTCAATTGGTCCCTGTTTTACGACTTCGTTCGACAAGCCTTCCCTTCTCGTAAGACCGCAATTTCTTCTCGTCCGATGGACATTCTCCTTATATTCTATACTTCTTTCTATTATGAAAAACAATCATTCATAAATTATATCCCCTCGTGTTTTCCTTCTATCCACGATACGCAATAAGGTAATCAATCGTTAAAATTTATATACATAGGATATCGTATTTTTTTTTCTTTTTCTTTTTTTTTTTTTTTTTTTTTTTTAACTAAAAGAAAAATAATAAAAAAAAGAAAAAAAAGTAAAGAGAAAAAGAAGAGAGATCCATTCTTTTAAAATAAAATTGAATAATAGTACGGATGGTACAATTCGCGAGTACGTCAAAATGATCGACTTCTTCAAGACTTTTGTCATAAATTTCTCTTTCTCTTCCTCTCTTTATCTTTCTCTTGGGCACGAGTCCGACATGTAATATCGAAAATTTCACTGTTCGTTGCGTAAGGCACTTACGCACGATTAATCACGCTAATTACAAGTACGAGCGTAATCGGTCTTTTACGTTTAATAGTCTCACCCGAGGGTTAACGATTTTCTTTTCTTTTCGAAAAACAACTCCCCCTTTAGGAACGCAGTCTTTCATTCTCGATAAGTATCGCTCATTAACCGATCTCCTTTTGTACCCTTTAAACGAATCCTCAAGTGCCGATTATTAATTGGCGAATTACGATTAATTACGAATCATTCGCGTCTGGATACATCCTGGTAAATTAGTTGGGAGGTAAGGAGGTAAGCATAGATGTAATAGAAATGAGAAAGACGAAGGGAAGTAAAATGCAACCCTATCGACATGAGAATGGCGTGTACTTAGGATGATAGAGAAAATTTCTTTTCAATTCGCGAGATTCCGCGAGACGTATCGCTGAGAATCTTTCTCTAGGGAAAAAGACGAAGAAGAAGAAGAAGAAGAAGAAGAAGAAGAAGAGGAGGAGAAAGAGAAAAAGGAGGAGGAGGAGAGGAGAGGTGGAGAGGTTGAGGGCCGATTCTACTTCAAATACGAGCCACGCCTATTCTCCTCTAGCCCTTTTTCTTCTTCTCTCTCTTTTTTACTCTTTCACTCTCTCTCTCTCTCTCTCTCTCTCTCTCTCTCTCTCTCTCTCTCTCTCCCTCTCTATCTATCTATCTATCTATCTATCTCTATCTATCTATCTATCTATCTCTTTCTCTCTCTTTCTTCCGCGGTACCCGACCTTTGACCCGCGGTTGTAACCTCGGCTCTCTGCGCCCGCGCACGCAAGCTATGAGCGCACACATACGCGCGCACGCACACACGCATACACGCAGATACATACGCACACGAGTAAAAGAAACGAAGGCGCGCTGGGAAGGCTCTCGTAATTGAAGAATAGCGGATTTCAACGTACATATAGCCGTGGTATATAGAGAGAAAAGAGAGAGAGAGAGAGAGAGAGAGAGAGAGAAGCTGCGATTTTTTTGTCATCGTAAATAAGTTACGCGGGAAAATCCCATAAGCCGTTTGTGATGCGAGTGAACGTCCCGTCCCGTTGAAACTCATACCGGTAACGTGACACGTTACTATATCTCTCGGTCTCTCTTTCTATGGGATCGCTATAAACGATAAAACAATCGTATCGTTCAACTCGAATTCTTTCCTATAACGTCTTACGAGGCTCGCCTCGAAACGTTTCTAAGGTCGATCGATGGAAGGAGCGATCGAAGTTAACGTGTCAGAAAACTTTCCATAATCGTAATTATCAACCAGCCAGTCGGTCAGTCCCCTTTCTTAGAATCGCTCTAAGTAAGTGAGTAAGTAAGTAAGTACTTACTGGCTCGGGTTTTCTTCTTCGTGAAAGAAAATGGCGCTGGAGGCATTGCCATATAAAACGACGACGACATTCTTTAACATTTTCAAGCACGTGACAATAAGGTACTTTTATAGGGGAGGGAGAGGAATCGAGAGAAAGGGAGAAGAGAACCAAGGGGGTAGGGGTTATAACAAACGATTGAAATTCATGTAAAACGACGATCGAGTTCTCCGGCATGTTTTGCTCGACGATCGAAATGAGAGTTTCCATTTCTCTTTCTCTCTCTCTCTCTCTCTCTCTCTCTCTCTCTCTCTCTCTCTCTCGTTCGAATTTACGAATGACGTGCAAAAGTATACGATACAACTGTGCGTTTTATTACGAGCTAAATCGTCGACTGACTCGACGAAAGTAATCTTTGACGTGACCGTCGACGAGGTCGCTGCTGTTCACCCACCCCCATTTCACACCGCGAAAATTAGCTTATTAAAATAACAATTACGGAATACCGTCCAGGCATTGTACGCCATGTCAAAGGTTAAGCACCAGTCGCTGTAACTTAACGGGGATACTTGCCATACACATAGATACTTATTTATATATATATACATACGTGTATACACCCATACATATATATCCGTTTACACTAAGAGTAACTCGCGACTCTTCTCCCTTACGCTCGTATTCGAAAATAAATCTTTGACAAATTTTCAAGCTAGTTGAGAAACTTCTGGTGAAAAGAAAAAACGAAAAAAAGAGAGAGAGAGAGAGAGAGAGAGAGAGAGAAACGAAGCTTCGATCTAAACTCTCGAATAATGACGATCGGACCGATAATTAAGACGCAAAGATTCCAACGATTTGCGAAACGTCAAGGTGCAGGTATTAAGAAGAATAAATAGGAAGAAAAACTGATAAATCTTCGAAGATCCCGACCATAAAGGAGGCATAATTTAAATAGAAACCGCTTTAAAGAGGCACTCGAGGCGATCCACCGAGAATTCCGCGCGATCGTGGAATTAATTGTCAAGGCTCGTTGAAATTCCAACATTGTCTAAAGCTGCGTTAAGCGTAT